CTAAAGAAGTTATCCACAAATGAGACAAATCAATGCTTACCTCCCACAGATGCAATTCTGGTAGGTCCCCAAACATTTATGCGAACATAATCAAGTATTCCCTTCATACGGTGTACTGTTGTGCTAAACTTGACTCTTGTCTGCTTGCCCATAACACAATGTTCACAAAATCCAAGCTTGCAGGTCTTGACACCTTTCAATAGACCCTACTTCACTAGTCCTTGCAAAGCCTTCTCACCTGCATGTCCTAAGCGTACATGCCATAATCTGGAAGCTTCTGATGCATCTACCTCTGAACTGTCTGTAACAGCTGCTGCGCCTGTAACTGTATTTCTAAGGAGAAAATACAATTTACTCTTTTTCATACCCTTTATCATAACGAGAGCTCTATGGGTCTGTATACAAACACAAGAAAGTTATTATGCTTAAGGTAAGCCAGACGAAGTTAGAGTGGTTAAAAATGAGAAGAAATAAATACAAGTCAAACGACAAGATACCTACATGGCAGAAATTGGGAACTGAGAGAACATGTCTTTCCTGGACATTTCCGTCTGAACCCTCACATCCTCTGGAGACCACAGATGCGAGAAGTAAGATAGAGCGGTCGGACCATGTTTGAACATGGTATCACTAGGTGCAACCACCGATCCATCCGCTCGGATGAACCTGGGAGTCCATGGAATCACAGCCGAAGGGGTAGATGAGGTCCCTTCTGCCCCCCCAATAGTGTTACCAGAGGTGGGCACCTCCTTCTGTGCGCTAGGCTCAGGCATCCCAGAGGTCTGAATCCTTTGGGATAAGGGAACGTCGTCAATGTCAGTTCCAGCACCCCTCTCGGATTGGGGCCTCTTTCCTTTCCCTTTCCCTTTCCCCCGGTCGGACTCCTGAGCGATTAGAGGGTTCTCAAACCCTAAAGTTGGGGCAAGGGTAACAGTAGCATTAGGAGCACTAGGATTGCCCCTCTTCCTCCTCCCGAACGATGGGATCTAGAGTTCGTCCATACAAAATCCTCGAAAGGAGATGTTGTCAAGAGCATCTGAGGTAAGTATTTCGGAAGATGAAGGGATGTTGGTCCACACTTCTTCTTCCAAAAGATGAAGCCTAGCCCTACAAATGCCATAACTCAAGTCGTCATAAGGGATGCCCAGAGAATGGAAAAAGAAAGAACAACAGCGTGGGAGGCAAATTTTACACTACTCGCTCTTATGTTTTTTATGTTTAACATACAAGGGGACAGAGCACTCACCAAAAGCGGTTGAGATGGAGAAGTTTCTAGATGCTGGAGCTTGCCAGGCCCCTATAAGGCCCATCTTCCATTCTCAGAGTTGGGTTTATCCGTACAGATCGACTGTTTGGTAAGAGAGAAGAGATCATAATACATATCATCCTGCCTAATTTTACGAGTCTTATAATAGAGAAGAAGGTCCAGAAGATCAAGCTCTAAGTTTTTGTAGTGATTCATAACCAGAAGGACAGACAAGATCCTAAAAAAGTTGAGGATTACTTGAAAGGGGAAAAGATTTAATTTACTAAAGACAAGGGTGAAGAAAGGATGTAGGGGGAATCTAATTTCATTTAGATGAAAAGAAGAAAAGAAGATCTCCCCTTAGAAGAGACCCTCACCAGTCCTCACGTTCAGATTCCTAGGACAACGTCTAATGAGGACGTCGTTAGGGATCTCGTATTTCGCACGAGTGGACTCTAAGTCATTCACCATGACAACAATAAAAGGAACACTTGAATTTAAAAGAAGAAGAAAGAATTTTATAAGAAACAAGAGGAGATCGGAACTAACCTTAAGGAATTGAGTCAACGAAGTCACTGCAGAGAGTTGAGGATGAGAAATCTCTAGGAAAAGCTCACCGGAGAAAGATTTCCTCACCGCTAGATAAAAATGGAAAGATCATATGTTTGGAGAGAAGAAAGAAGAGACAGAAGAAAGGCTTGAAGGCACAAACTAAGGGTTTTAAAGAAAGTAGTCTCGTTGACCGAGGCGTCATAGCAATGATGAAGTTTCATTTCCCAAAGCATTGATCTCTACACTACCGTCCACTTCCCCATGTCACTGCCTTGAGCTTTCACATCATGATTGCGTCCCCTCGTTAATCTCACCCAAATTAATTAGGGAAAGATTAGGGGGGAGGTGAGGGTACTGAGAATAAAACAGGCCATATATGGTCCGGTGCACTAGGCCCAGGGTTTAGAAGGACCATAAGTCCACTTACAGAACGAACTATCAAGCCCAAAGCCCTATTAAGCCACCTCTTAGCCTAACCTCTTGAGTGTCATGAAAAGGGGCCTCCACTCACTTCGGCCCAAAGACTGGCCATTGAAGAATGGCCCAGAGCTTTGGGGAAGGTTTTAGGGCAAATGTGCACTTCTATAAATAGAAGTTAGAGAGATGGAAAGAGGGGGATGGAGTGAAGTGTAATAGATTACTTTCCTAATACAGAGAGCAATTTCTTGCATCTTCACCCATGTAACTGAGTTGGCTGTTCAGATCTTAAAGCTCTAATGCATCTCTTAGTGTATCGCTACACTTTTGGTCTTTGACATTATCGACCTTTCCATTGTACACATGGTTTTAAAATGACAATGGGAATGGAAGGTTTGTTTTCCCTTCAAAAACTTTGTTATATTGATGTGAAGCATGACTTTAGTAGAATTGTAGTAGGAGACCTGGGGAGGCTTACCCAACTGAGGACATTAGGGATTACAAATTTGAGAAGACAAGATGGGATGGCTATGTGCTCTTCCCTTGAAAAGCTGAGAAACCTTCGCTCATTGAAAATAGATTCAGTAGAAAAGGATGAGATCATTGACATTCAATCTTTCTCTTCACCTCTTTGGTTTCTTTGATGGATCCATTTGAATGGCCGTTTAGAGAAGTTGCCGCATAGGATACCTCTCTTCATAACTTGACGGGACTATGGCTGCGTTGGAGTAAGTTAACAGAATATCAACTAGAATCCCTTCTTCAATATTTGCCCAACCTGGTAGAGATTGGACTTAATCAGGCTTATGAATGGAAGGAATTGTGTTTCAAGACCGGAAAGTTTCCGAAGATTAAGACATTGAGGTTTGTAAGCTTAAAAGGATTGAGGTGTGTCAATGTGGAGGAAGGCTCAATGCCACTTCTTGAATTTCTAGAGATTACTAATTCCGAATTGGAGGTGCTCTCATGCATTGAACATCTAACCAACCTTAAATTCCTTGACCATTATGATGTCCCTGAGAAACTGATTATGGCATTGCCGCACTTGAAGAAACAACGTGTGGATTACTGGAAAATAAAACACATTTTGACTATTTGGATTGGAGCTCAAAAAGATGGTGAATGGGAAGGATACCGTCTAGACAGGAGAGCAGATTGACGAGAGAAAGTGACATGACCAGGTTGGTATAATCATCACCTTTGCTGTGCTTTTTTCTTCTCTGGCCACAGTGTGGATCATATTATTTTGGTCGCATACCAGTAGTTTGATATATTTGTAAATACTATAACTTTAATTTTTGTAATTGTATCGATTCTAATTTATAACTGGAAAAACTAATTATGAAGTTTATCCGCATGCTTGAAACACAAGTTAAGAGTTTTACTGTACAATTATTTGAAAAAAAAAAAAAAAAATGAGTGTATTTTAAATTGTATATATGCTTATTGAAGTCAAGTTGCATATTGAGGTTCATAAATTGAATGTATGCTTATATGTGAAAAGTTTTTGTGGTAGCATGACAAATGACTTTTAGCCATGATTTTAGCATGCTAATTTAATCTAACAGAATGTTATTTGGAGTCTTTTGCATGTTGTTTTTTTTCCTTATTATACCAATTAATTGGATAGATTTATGTATCTTAAGGTCAAGTTTAAGGTTACATTGAGATTGTGAAGGGTTTTTTTTTTTTTTTTTTTTTTTTTTGGTTCAGAAGTTAAATATAATGATGTTGAAGTGTTAAAAAATCCTAAGACTATTCAATAAAGGGTGTAAATGAGGAAAAAGATTAAATACTTTTAGCTATAAGCTCCAGCCTCCAGGCCTCCAAAAATGCCGAATACAAGAAGTAAAAAACATCTATGCATCTATGATGAGGCAGACAAGAATCAACAACCAAAATTCAGCATGCCACATTAAAAGAAAAAAACACGAAATAAAAAATAAAAACAAAATAAATAAATAAAAATAAAAAACAAACAAACAAATGAAAATTCGAAATACTGGTGGTTTCAATGACTAACTCATTGTTACGACCCCTTCCTCCCACATTCTCTATCGATATATCTCTATCTTTATATATGAACTTTGGGAGAGAAAAAAAATGCCATCTAAACCCCCCTAGTATTCAGCTTGTTGGATTAGGAAAAGTGTGGGTCAAATTTTAGTGGTTCTATATAGTTTCATTTGGTTCTTTATTGGTATTTCACAATTTCATTTTTCTAAAATATATTTTCAAATTAATAATCAAGGGTACTTCTGTGATTAGACGTCACACGAGTCTAATTGGCTCTTTAAGTTGCTTTATTGCAAAGTAATGTATTATGAATAAAAAAAATTAAAAAATTAAATCCAAGAAAACTATTTTACAGGCAACAACAATTCCTCTTTGTTTATTCAGACTCTTTGTCAGGCACTTAATTCATCTAAATCTGACAATAATCCATATGTTCAATATATTAATATTTTGTTCCATTTGTTGAAATCTGTTTACTTCTCTGTTTTTATCATTCCACTCTCCGCATATCTTTTATTCCATAGAAGGAATATTCCCACCAATGATAAAATATACCCTAGAAATAATATATAGTTTTTGCCTGCAGAATAAAATCCACCAGATTCAAATATGCTTTTGATGTATTCAAAAGTAATTGGCATTCCCTCAACCCAAAGGCTTACTGATAAAATTTAAGAGAGAATGGCTGAGAGTGCAGTAACCTTCCTGCTCAATCACCTGACCATCTTCCTTCAACAAGAGTCAAAACTCCTGGGAGGAATAAGAGAAGATGCTGAGTACAATACGATCTAGAGTGAATCAAATTGCTGAGGGACATCAGAGATACCATTACAAATTCAACATCTCAGAGCACGGCTCAAGCTCCAACACGGTCAACAGCACATGGTATGATCGTCGAGGTAATGTACTTCTACTCAAAGAAGCTGAGCTTGTGCGCATTGATGGGCCCAAGAAGCAGCTGATTGGGTGGCTTGTGGAGGACACCCCAAGACTCAAAGTTGTTTCGGTGGTGGGAATGGGGGGATAGGAAAAACCACTATAGTAAAGAAAGTTTATGATGATATAGAGGTGAAGAATCAGTTTCAAATCTATGCTTGGATCACTGTTTCTCAATCCTTTGATCTCTGAGAGCTTCTCAGAGATTTAATTCGACTTCTCTTTGATGAAGCCAGGAACCGGCTCCTCAAAGATTGGAAGCCATGGACAACAATAACCTGAAGGCACAACTTAAGGACTTCCTCCAATAGAGAAGGTACGTGATTGTTCTTGATAATGAGTGGAGTATAAATGCAGGGGATGCCTTAAAATATGCATTGCCTGACAACAATTGTGGCAGTCGAATACTGCTCATAACACGCATTGGTGGGGTAACTTCTACCTCTTGCGTAGAATCCCAAGGTAACATCTATGTTGTGAAGGCATTGTCTCCAAAAGAGTCTTGGATTCTATTTTGTTGGAAGACCTTCCAAGAGAACTACTGCCCTCCACATTTAGAGGAACTTTCACAAAGTATCTTGGAAAAATGTGAGGGCTTGGCCATTATAATTGTGGAAATTGGTGGTGTTTTGGCTACCAAAGACAAGACTAGAATGGATGAATGGGAAATGGTTCTGCGCAGCCTTGGTGCAGAATTGGAAGGCAGAGACAAACTTGAGAGTATAAAAAAAATACTCTCTTAGTTACAATGATTTGCCTTATTATCTTAAAATTTGTTTCTTACACTTCAGCATATTACCACAGGATTATCATATTAAGAAAATGAAATTGATTCGGCTATGGATTGTGGAAGGATTTGTAGAAGCGAAAGAAGGGATGACTTCAGAAGAAGTTGCTGAAGGCTACCTTAATGAGCTTGTTAGTAGAAGCTTGGTCCAAGTGGCAACGATATGTTATGATGGAAGGCTTAGAAGTTGCCACTTCCATGACCTTTTCTGTGACATTATTATTTCAAAGTCAATAGAACAAAGCATTGCAGGGATCGTTGGTGAAGAAAACACAGGGTGGCCGGAAAAAGTTTGCCGCCTATCAATCTACTATACCTTGGGAAACTTGTAGCAAACAAATCATTTTTCTCAACTTCGATCATTGCTAATGTTCAAAGTGGCAGAGCCTTTATCTATGTCATCAATGCCTATATTATTCAATGGTGGTTTGAGGTTATTGAAGGTTTTGGACCTAAGAGGTGCTTCTTTAGAAACAGTTCCAAATGAAGTAGTTAAATTATTTCATCTACGATATTTAAGCTTGAAGAGAACAAAGATCAGAACTCTTCCCAACTCCATTGGAGAACTTGAGAACCTTGAAATGTTAGATCTTAAGGACACCTACGTAACGGAGTTTCCTGTTCAGATCCTAAAGCTCCGACGAATTCGTCATCTCTTGGTGTATCGCTACACTTATGAAGCTTATCAACCTTTCCACAGAATACTTGGTTTTAAAATGATTGTGGGAATAGAAGGTTTGGCTTCCTTACAAAAACTTTGTTCCATCGAATTTTGGCTTCCTTACAAAAACTTTGTTCTATCAAAGTGAACCATGATAATAGTAGAATTGTAGTGGGAGAGCTAGGGAGGCTGACCCATCTGAGGAAATTATGTATTACAAAGTTGAGAAGACAAGATAAGATGGCTTTGTGCTCCACCATTGAAAAGCCGAGTAACCTTCACTCTTTGAATATAGGTTCAGTAGAAGAGGATAAGATCATTGATATTCAATCTTTATCTTCGCCTCCTCGATTTCTTTAACGATTCAATTTAGAGGGACGTTTAGAGAAGTTACCACACTGGATAGCTTATCTTCATAGCCTGACTAGACAATGTTTAGGTTGGAGCAAATTAATGGATGATCCTTTAGAATCATTTCAAAATTTGCCTAACTTGGAAGAGCTTAAACTTCACTAGGCTTATGAAGAGAAAGAATTGTGTTTCAAGACTGGAAGGTTTCAGAAGATAAAGATATTATGGCTTGTAAGCTTACAAGAATTGAGTTATGTCAGTGTAGAGGAAGGCTCAATGCCACTTCTTAAATTACTATATATTACAAACTGTAAATTGGGGGTGTTCTCGGACATTAAACAACTAACCAACCTTAAATTCCTTCACCTATATGATATGGCCGAGAAACTGATTATGGCATTGGATCCTCACAAACAAGGTGTGGATAACTAGAAAATAGAACACATTCCCAAAGTTTGGATTGGAGCTCTAAAAGATGGTAATTGGGAAGGATATTACCTAGAGTGAGAGAACAGAATGATAGAGAGAAAGTAATATGACCAGGTTAGTATTTGTGTGTATATATGTGTTAATTTATTTATATGTGTGATGTTGTGGCCAGAATTTGGTGCCGGGTCGCGTTGTGACCAACATTAAACTCGATGCCCGCTGGATGAGCTTAAAACCCGACGCCCGTTGGATGAGCTTTGACCCGTTTTTACTCATAGGGCATGGACCCTAATTAGTCTCTTGTAACCCAATATATAAGGGCACTTAGGGTTTGGAGTGGAGGCAAAGGGAGACTCTGAAATTCATACAGAAACAGAGTGAGGGGCTGAAAACTTGTAATCTCCGATTTACATATAGTGAAAACTTTCGCCGGATCCCAACCGTGGACGTAGGCTGTTGCGGAACCACATATAAATTTTTGTGTTCTTTGTGTCGCGTGTTTATTATTCTGTCATGATTCTTGATTCAACTTGGGTTCGTTGCGTTTGTTATAACAAACTGGTATCAAAGCTTTCGGGTTCGAAGCAAGGATGTCGTCCAAGTTTTTAGAAATCGAGAAGTTTAATGGCAGAAACAATTTCAACCTGTGGTGGGTTAGGATGCAAGCTTTGTTGGTTCAACAAGGGTTATCCAAGGTGCTAAAAGGGAAGGATGCACTGCCAGAAAAGATCAAGGACAAATATGAGGTTATGAAGAAAGCACACGGTACGATTTTGTTGTGCTTAAGTAACGAGGTTCTGCGAGAAGTTGCTGAAGAGACTACAATGGATGGGCTGTGGAAGACGTTAGAGTCCCGATATATGACAAAATCTATTACATCTAAAGAAATGGTTGTTCACTCTTCAGATGCATGAAGGTTCGTCTCTGAAAAACCATCTTGACGAGGTAAATAGTATCATCATGGACCTGAATAATATTGATGACAAGATAGAGGATAAAGATCAGGCTATTAATTTGTTGTGTTCTCTACCACCCTCGTATGAGAACTTTGTCGATACAATGATGTATGGCAGAACTGCTTTGTCTATGGAAGACGTGAAGGCAGCTCTGAATTCTAAGGAGTTGCAGAAAAGGGCGTTTGAAGGCAATACAGAAAGTTCGGCAGAGGGGTTATTTGTTAGAGGGAGAACAAATCAGAAGGGAGGGTCTGGCAACAAAGGTCGTTCTAAGTCTAAGAACAAAACGAAGGGGTTAAGACGTTTAATCTGTCACAAGGAAGGGCACTTCAAAAATGATTGTCCGAAGCATAAAAAGGGAAAGGTAAAATCCTCTGAAATTGAAAGTGTGGCTGTTGTAGAGGATAATGATTCAGATGGTGGTAATGTTCTCACAATTTCAGTTGGCAACTCTTATGATGAGTGAATTCTTGATTCCGGTTGCTCATTTCATGCTTGTCCAAATAAGGACTGGTTTACCTCTTATCGATCTATTGATGGAGGGGAAGTTATGATGGGGAATAATACAGCGTGCAAGGTAATAGGTATTGGTACAATTCGAATCAAGATGTATAACGGCATAGTGAGGACACTGACTGACGTTAGGCATGTACCAGAATTGAGAAAGAATTTAATTTCCCTAGGTACCCTGGATTCCATCGGGTGCACTTATAAGGCTAGAGGTGGAGTCATTTAGGTTTTCAAGGGTGCTCTTGTGGTGATGAAGGGATTGAAGAAGCATGGTTTATATGCTTTGTAGGGTAGCACAATCACGGGTTAAGTTGTTGTATCGTCCTCGGATCCGGATTGAGATACTACCAGATTATGGCATATGCAGCTTGGGCATATGAGTGAGAGGGGGATGGATGTTCTAAGTAAGCAGGGTTTGCTTGGTGGTCAGAAACTGGGAAGCTGGATTTTTGTGAGCATTGCGTCTTTGGGAAGCAGTGCAGAGTGAAGTTAAGTATAGGAATTCACAGGACCAAGGGTACAGTGGATTATATTCATTCTGATCTTTGGGGTCCCTCTCAGGTTACTTCACATGGTGGTCGTAGATATATGATGACGCTGATTGATTACTTTTCTCGAAAAGTTTAGGTTTATATTCTGAAGCATAAGAATGAGGCATTTGTTACATTCAAGTAGTAGAAGACCTTGTTTGAGAAGGGGATTGGAAAACAGGTCAAGCGTTTGAGGACAGATAATGGCTTGGAATTTTGTGATAGAGAATTTAATGAGTTCTGCAATACTCACGGGATTGTGAGACATCACATAGTGAGGAAGACTCCGCAGCAGAATGGAGTTGCAGAATGGATGAACAGAATGCTATTGGAGAGGGCACGGTGTATGTTGTCCAATGCAGGGTTAGACAAAGCGTTTTGGGCTGAAGCTATTTTTACAGGTAGTTACTTGTTGAACTGGTCTCCATGAACTGTTATCCGACTGTAAGACTCCAGATGAAGTATGGTCTGGTTCTCCTCCTAGTTACAGTAATCTTAGAATATTTGGGTGTCCAGCATATGCTCATGTAAATGAGCGAAAGCTTGAACCGAGGGCTAAGAAATACATATTTCTAGGTTATCAGCTTGGGGTCAAGAGATACAGATTATGGTGCCCAGAGGCTTCGGGAAAAAAGATACCTATTAGCAGGGATATGACCTTTTATAAGTCTGCGATGCTTACTCCACAGAAAGAGGTAGTTGATTCAAGGAAAACTCAAGGTGTCAGTGAACAGGTGGAGTATGTAGAGGTTCAGTTAGAAGACAGTCCTATTTGGTCGACTCACAAGCAGGTGCAGTCTCAGGCTGAGGGAGATGCACAATTGCAGTAGTATAGTATGGCTAGAGACAGGCCTAAGAGGGATATTAGGCCACCAGAGAAGTATAGATTTTCACATGCTGATTCGGTTACTTATACACTTAGTGTTACAGAAGATATTGATGAGCTGTGTTCTTATCATGAGGCCATCACAAGTGGAGAGTCAGCAGAGTGGTCTGTTACCATAAGTGAGGAGATTGAATCTCTTCATAAGAACCAGACTTGGGAGCTAGTTAAGAAGCCTAAGGGCTAGAAGATTGTGGGATGTAAATGGGTCTTTAAGAAGAAGGAAGGAAATCCAGGGGTGGAAGATACGAGATACAAGGCACGCTTGGTGGCAAAGGGCTATACACAGAGGAAAGGGGTGGACTTCAATGAAGTGTTTTCTCCTGTGGTGAAACATATCTCAATCCGAGTGTTACTTGCTATGGTTGCTCTGTATGACTTGGAGCTTGAGCAGCTTGATGTCAAGACTGCTTTCTTGCATAGTGAGTTAGAAGAGTAAATTTATATGTATCAACCTAAGGGGTTTGAGATTCTAGGAAAGGAACATCATGTTTGCCTACTGAAGAAGTCCTTGTATGGGCTGAAGCAGCCTCCTAGACAATGGTACAAGCGATTTGACACCTTTATGGTTGGGAATGGCTACTATAGGAGTAAGTTTGATAGTTGTGCGTATCACAGGAAGGTCTCAGATGGTTCGTATTTGTACTTGTTGCTGTATGTTGATGACATGTTGATGGCTTGCAAGAACATGTCTGAAATTAACATGTTGAAGGCTCAGCTTAATGTTGAATTTGAGATGAAGGATCTTGGTGCTACGAAGAGGATATTGGGAATGGAAATTCAAAGGGACGGGAGCAGGCAGATTGTATTTGTCACAGAAGAAATACATTGAGAAGGTGCTGGAACACTTCCGTATGCAAGCATCGAAACCTATGAATACTCCATTGGTTGCCCACTTTAGACTTTCAGCACGATTGTCACCACAAACCGATGAGGAGGTAGAGCACATGTCTCATGAAAAGTATCCGAGCAATAGATAATATTTGGATGAAGATAGTATATTGGTTTTGTGTGTGTGTGAAAATCCTTTTGTGTGTGCAATCTTCAAGTAACACTAGAAGCTTGTCTTTGGGTGGGTTTTCTCTCTTTATGTAAACCATATACTATTTGGGTATTTATTGAGAGTGTTGTGTGAGTCTTCTTTGTTGGTGAGTTAGTGATGTGAGAAGAGAGATTATTGTGGGGAGGAACCAAAATGTTCTTCAGTTTGTAATCTTCTTCTTTATAGTGATATGAATCATTATCGCTTGTGGATTTATAAATCCTTGTCTCACTTGTGTGTGCCTATTTTAGTTTTTTTCTAATTATTTTTCTCTTTGTCTCATGAATCGAACTAGTTTCCTTCTCACCTAGTTTGTACTTAGTTTCTTAGACTGAACAATATGTCACATCCTAGTAAAGTCCTCAAAACTTTCATTACCGTGCAATCAGTAACATCCGAATAAATTCAACAGACCTTCTCATTTGTTACATTTAAGAACCCTCCTCCCTCCATGCCAGATTGCAGTTTATATTTTTAAGGCAACTTACTCTTCTCACATCAAACAAATACGAAGTATATAATATGTGGTCCACAATCACCTGCTTTTTACTATAAATAGGAGTCCTTCCCACTCTTCTAAAACCACCAAGCAACCAAATATATCATCAATGCAGCAGGGCCAAAGTAGTGGTAGCTCATGAGCTCCCCGGAGAGGAAGAAAAGTGAACCCTCCTCCTCCTCTAGTGAACCCTCCCCATCCTCCTCCAGCACCACATCATTTTGCCCCTGATCCAGAGTACTTACTGATGAGAGTTAATAACCTATCTATTGAACTGAATCAGGTCTGGCAGTTATGCCGAGCCATAAGAAGGCAGATCCACCGCCTGGAGAGGGATTTCCAAGATGATTCGGACTCAGCGATAATCGAGGTTCTAGGGGAAGACAGCTCATCCGGTGCCTCTTATCCCATTTGATCATTCTGTTAGGGGTGGTTCTCTGATATTGTGATGGTGTGACTGTCTGTGGTTCTCTAATATTTTGATGGTGTGACTGTGTATGATATCTGCTAAGTTTAAGTATGTATGACATGGTCAATGTCTACTATATCCCAAGTTTTGGGGTTATAAATTTTTTTGACTGTCTGCTCTCCCTTTTTGTTGGGTTATAGGGGAGATGTAAAATATTGGCCTCTCTGCGCCATTTAGGCCCTTTGGCTTTGGTTGTTTTGTAGTTCTTGTGATATGTAAAATATATATTAAGTGTTAACTCTTTCATTATGTATAATACTTTCAGTACATGAGTTTAGGCAGGTTTTTATTTTCTGAATTGTGTGAATCAGAATATGTTTTTATATGACACACAATTAATTTAGTAGAATGGGTAATGAATTGGTGTCAGTGTGGCAGTTACCATTTAAAGGTTGCAAAAATGATATATTCTTGAAATACATGTATGCATCAAGCAAATGAATAATACTATGTACGATTAATTGACTAGACTAGGTAATGAATTTCTGTCAGTTACTATTTAATGGAATCCAAATATATGGCGATTACCATTTAAAGTTGGTAAGAAAGAGGAAGGGTTACCATTTAAAGGAAGGGTTACCTTTGAATGAATATAGGGGTTACATATATATACGGTTAGATTTAACGTGCATTTAAATCAGAGTCCTCTTAAAAACAAAACTATACATCGTACATAAGGAGATAGAGCTGCAAAATACGATTGATGACGTGGTTGGCCGAATTGATGACATATGTTTCAAGTCTTACACCAACAAGTATGAGTGGTGAGTTTTTTGTAAAATATTGCATTTAAAGTTTTGATGCATTATTGGTTGGTTGATTAGGAGATTTAATTTATTTGGGGAAATGCAACAATATGGGAATGCACCTTAGACAACTTCATTGGACCATTATGATGTAGCAGAGCAAATAATAGCAAGTGAGGGCCCACGGCATGTAATAGGAGAGAGGCGTATCTACTTACAACATTGTTTTGAGTCTAGGAATAATGATGCAAGGTTTATAAGGGGTGTGGTACGATTTAT